AGCCATTAGAAAATTTTAAAATATTATCAGATATAACTAGGAGAAAAGGGAAATAGCCTGTAGAGTCAAATGCAAGCCCTAGGTAAGTGAGGTACAAAGCAAATGGAAATTACTGAGACAGAAAATTGTTTGAGGCTAGGAAACTCTTCTGGGAAAATATGTTTCCTCTTATGTTCTGCCTGAATGTCCTTTTCAGTCAATGCTGGAAAGAAGAAATGTGCTGGATAGACATCTGCAGTGCTTACATTCCTATGCAGACTTAATGAACAAGGAAAAGTGAGTAGAGTACCTATAAAAGGGACACTTGGATGTCTCTTGCCTCAACACGAACAATAAGGGTGCAGTTTTGCTGGGGAAAAAGTGTGCAAATAAAGCAAGATTATTGCTAATACAGGAAGACACAAGCCTGTACTGTCTGGGTGTACAATGGAAAAACCCTTGAAAACACTGGCCCTTTCTTAACAACAGTGTCAACCCCCTCTTCCTTACCTACTCAGTTTGGGTTTAGCAGTGACTTAGCCAGACCTGGTGGGGTGATTCAGGGCGACCCGAGTGAGGTACCGATGCTTGTGGTCCAGGCAAGAGCTGCCCCTGATGCAGGCCCAATGTATTATGAGTTATCCAAATCTGGTACCCTGATAGAAGTGAAGCTGCTGCAGGTCCATGCCTCTAGGTCCAGCTAACAGCGAGGACAAGCATGTATTCCCAGTAGGCACATGCACACACACATACAAACACATGCACAGAAGTACACACACACCAAGACACTATGGATCCCTCAGCAGCTGGGCTCAGACACCCCATCCATCCAGCAGCTGCCCTGGGATGTGCTGGTGTCCCCTGCTGCCTCATGCACACACATACACAAACAAGTCTCTCTGCCGACCCCAGATGCCACAGCCTCCCCACCTGCTGATTCGGGCTCCTGGTCCCTCAAGTAGCCAACCCACGGAACCCTGGTCTCTCCAGTATGAAGCCCTGGCTTATGGCCACTTTGACACTCAGTTGCCAACCACTTACCCTATTCATTGGCTCATCCAGCTGGATCTTTGTTAGTGCTTGCACACATACATACGTACCCAATTGGCATTGGCATTGGCCTCTCCAGTCACAGCACCACAGACATAGGGGCCTCCAGCCCTTGATCCCACCCCAGGGGCTCTCACTGAGACCCCCACTCACACCTCTGCACAGAGGACAGAGCCCCTGGCCCAGGAAAACGGCTAGAAAAGGGGTTTACTGAGAGGCCAGGACAGACTGTGCTGGTCAGGTGCAGGTAGAACACAACTGTCCCACAGGCAAAGTGAGGGACTGTATAGACACCAGTTGGCACTCAGTAAAAATTCTCAAGTATTGCGAGGGGTCTCACTTTCATTTTGGCATGTTCATGTCTCCTGTTGAGTTTTGAGTTTTTTGTCTGAAAGCAAGTGCTTGAAAAGGAGAAGGTGGCAATGTACTAGCTGCCACACCATGGGAAGAGCAGATGACTGAAACCTCTGCTTCCCTCACTGGAGGGAGATGTGCCAAAGGACACGCAGTAGGAAGCCAATGCAGACAGTGAAACGGGACATGACTTTGTAGCCCAACACTGTGGAAATTCCCAAGACAGAGGGAAGCCACTGCTTCTTCTTCCTCTTCCTGATGTTGTTTAAGGTTTTTCACTTGATGACTCTTTAAATATATAAACAGCTCCCACAGCTAGTGCTGGAGCCCAAGACTTTCTAGTCCTGCCACTGGTTGCCTTGAAAAGCAATTTATTTAAAGTTTCCTGGAAAACAACCAGATGTCCCCTCTCATCCTCTGCTTGACTCAATATCCTCTTGGTCACATTAAAATTTGGCCATAGACCCTTTGCAGACACATGCAAGTCAGCAGAACCTCTCTGTGCAAGCTGCAACGCAAAATTTCCTAACATTCCCGTCTCAGCCACCAGACGCATCTGATTAATCTGCATCTCTTCTTTGCCTGTATGTGTTTAAACATGCCTATGAATGCCTTCAGAAAATAAAAGAAAAAAAGGATAGAAGAAATAAGGAGTTAACTATTCCTTAGGGAAAAAAAAAATTAAGAAAGAAACAGAGCTATTGAATCAGGAACTATATAAACCAGCCTATAGAAACACATGAAGGAGAAATATTTACAGGAAAATAACACTAGTTTAGAAACAGAGTTAGAGAAATTAAGTAGCATTTCACAAATCCCACACACAATTCTTTTTATTCATGTCTGAAAATCAAGATGGATTAAGAATAAGCAACAATGAAGTTTCCTTGGACTATGAACCATGAGGCTGAATCTCTTTACACGTACAAAATCTGTACCATTTGAAGAATTATTGTCCTAGTCATTTCAAATACCAGCACTGGACTGTTGCTTCTGCTTTTGACATGTTATGTATTAGCTTTAGTCAATCACTCCAGACAAGTAATGTGACTCGCATTGGAAGGTATAAAGTAATTTGCTTTTCCCAGAAAGGATGTCTGCTTTCCTTTACCTAGCTACAATTATGGGGCACTACACTACAGTGAGTGTAGAATTATATACTACATATGTTATTTTTCCCTGACATTTGGGAAACTAAGTGAAGTACTTCCCAACACAATTAAAATTTTCATGCTGTATTGAGCTCCTTCAGTGCAAAAATTGCTTATATATCAGAAAAAAAAGATAATTGTACTTATCTGTATTTCTCCTTCTCACACTAACATTTACTGTTTCCCTTTTAAGGTTTCCAAGGAGTCTTTTTAACAAGGACAGCAACACCAGAACCATTCTGAAAGTTGTTCAGCCTGTACTTGACAACTTCCAGTTAGCAAACATGCAGCCACTTCAGACCATCTACTCTGGTGCTTAGCTGTCCTTGCAGTTAGAAACATTTTCCTCAATTTAGGGGTCTACACTGTACGTTCCCACATGTGTCCTGGGTATTTAAAGTCCTCTTATTGTTGATAGAGACCTAGCCAATACAGTCAATGAAATATAGAGGGCAAGTCTTCTCATCTTAAAGTCCATGTCATATGGTCAGTTGAATCACTCTCTAGAATTCATTGTCCAAAATGGGAGCTTAGTCACCTAAATAACTTATGGATATCTACACAAAAAAATACTTAAAGTTGATTCCACCTCATTACTCATTTGCGTGTACTTGAGACACCCACCTGGGACTGGCTGCCATGACACAGGAGCTATGGAGACCTACATCCTTCCAGGGCAGCTGGAGATCAGATGGGATTCCCTAGAGCATCTCAAATAGCACTAACGCTCAGCCAGATGAATCCCAAACCTCATGTCTAAACTAAATCACTGTTGTTTAAGACCATTCTAGAGTCTTGGAGAACAGTCATTGCTTCCCTTTTAGGAAATATTTAACAGCATTTATCATGCCTCCTCTCACTCTTCCTTCAATGAAACAGTGAATACAAAGTCACAAAATGGTTACTTTAATCTTCCTTTTGCAGACTCACAAAAATTCCTGTTAGGCTTCATTGAGCCTTTCTGACCAGAGCTCATCTCTCTGCCTGGATCCAAACATGCTATTGCAGCTGATCCGCGCTGAGAAGAGTATAAACATTATTTTACTTACCATACATATGGGAACCCAGTTTATACATTCCAGTAACATGACTGATTTTTGTTAATATCAGTCAAAAAACGTTGAATCATTTTAGCGCTCAGTTTTCCTTGCATCCTAATATTGTTTGAGATGATAGAACTTTTAGTTAGCTTATGACAGCCCTCCTGGAGTTATGATGTTGATTATTCCTAGATAACATCAGTTCTTTGTACTGTCTTTTATATTTTATTATTAAATATTATGACATAATATGCTATATTTTGTTAAATTTTAAAACATATGTATTATGTAGCATAATGTTATTCATTATAATACAATATGTTACTGTTATATGTTATTTCCTATTATTTCTCCAGTTTGTAAAGACTGTGCCATAAATAGTCTAAATTCATGATTCAAAAAACACCTATGAAATGTAGCTCCAGGTCCAGCATTTCCTTATTTATTAAACACACTACAAAATTGCCCAAAACAGAAGGCTCAGGCAAAATAAGGACAGTAACATTAGTTAAACACATTGCGTCACTACCTGATGATGCTGTTATGCATCATTTTTACTAATGAGAGGATATTATACAGCATGAGTCAGACTGTCACTGATTTACAAATTAGCTATATAAACAGAACTGAGAAGTGTGTTCAATAGCTCAAGAGTGAAACTGAGGCAGACAACCTTAGATGAGGATGAAGAGCCTTTCACTTCTCCTGCTGCTGTATGTGGCCATCTCTTCTGCTTTTCCTGTGGCTCCAGAAGCAAAAGATGAAGGAAAAACCCTACAGCTTGTAGAGGTAAATATTTTTCAGTGCATTTCTAAGTGAAACATAAGGTAGTCTGAGAGACAAATATAATTGCAAATCTTTTCAAAGAATATGGCTTGAAATTAAAGATGTACCACTTTGCAGAGGTTTCAAGAGAAAGCTTTTCCTATCAATCTAGAAAACATGTGAAAATTATGTGGAATGTATTCACCCAAAAGTCATCTTAATATTGTATAACTTCTCTTTTGATATTGTCGGTAAAGTAATAACAAAACTATCAAAGCATGAGTTCCAGCAGCAAGGCTCTGTGGCTGTGCAGAAATAGTCAAACTCAGCAACAATTTACATTTCAGAATGTGCTTTGACATTTATGACTGGTGTCAGTAAGGTAAGTGAGGAAACATGCTTGAAGCCGGCATGTATTTCAATGTTTTCCTGAATGGATCTTCTATGAAATACTTTGGAAAAAAGGGACACCTATGAGAAATAGAACACTTGTATAGACACAACACTATTTGTTGGAGACACAATTGTTGAAATTTAGTAGGAAGACCTGAGTTCCTAATACCATATTTCATAGCTAAAAATAAATGGCATGATTTGCCAAGTGCTGACTCTCTAGTAGCAGTCACTTGCTTTGTTGGGAGCTCCAGCTGTGTGGAGTCTCACTGCCAATCTCTGTTTCCTTGAATGAGACCAGTTATAAGCTTTCTTATAAATTTCACCATTAGGGTAATTGGGCACCAAAAATAATGTGGAATTAATTATTAATAGTAAGTATTAGATTTTAAAGACATTTCTTTATATATTTCATCAGTGAAACAAAAAAATCAGAAAACTGTATGAAAACTGTAAGTTATATCTGACTCTTCACACCAGTTCCTGGAGAAAACAGGATATTCTTTCTCCTGGTAAACACAGGGGATGTCGATGTGGAAATAGTTCAAGATTACTTAGAAAATTTAAGTGTGATTGAAGACAGTACTGATATGCCACAATGCTCTTCTTTTTTTAAACTCTGCTTCAGAGTTATCTACAGAATTTCTACAATCTTCAGAGGGATCACCAGCCTCATTTAAGAAACAAGGATGAAAATCCCCTTGTTGCAAAGCTCAAGGAAATGCAAGAATTCTTTGGACTACAAGTGACCGGGAAACCTGATCTTGAGACATTGGACATGATGAAAAAACCCAGATGTGGTATACCTGATATAGAGCAATATGTGTTCACAGCAGGGAATCCCAAATGGAAAAGAAATAATCTGACATACAGGTAACTTTTCCTAATCTGGTTCAAAAAGTCATAAATCTAGCATCTCAACTTCGGGGGGTGGGGGGTGAAGTAAGTATATTATGCCATATATGGACATCCAGAGTGATTAACTGATTCCTGGAAGAAGACAGGCACTCTAGAATATGGTATCTAAAATTAAGTAATTATTAATTTTCATTCATAAATGATATGTCTAAGACTTCTGATTTTTGCACAAGTTATTATTTTTCAGCTAAAATGCTGTATTCTTAAAAATACATAATGTGTTGTGTTTGCTTTGAAGGATTTTGAATTACACCCCAAAGATGAGACGAGCTGATGTAGAAGAAGCAATCCGAAAAGCTCTCAGTGTCTGGAGCAACGTAACACCATTGACATTCGAAAAGGTTGAGGACAAAGAAGCAGATATAATGATCTCTTTTGCTTATAGAGGTAACATTGATATCTTTTTTGTATTAAACAGCAACCTGCAATCATAGAAACATTTTAGGATTCTAACTGATTTTTTCCCTCTTCATTTTAGACCACCGAGACAACTCTCCTTTTGATGGCCCCAATGGGCAGCTGGCTCATGCTTTCCAGCCTGGCGAAGGTATTGGTGGAGATGTGCATCTTGATGAGGAGGAAACCTGGACAAAAGATGGAAGAGGTAAGGACTTTGTAACTGGATCCATTTATATAGTTTTACCTCGTACAATCTTAGTTCATGAGCCTGATTACAGGTAAAAAGTGAGAAAAAGTGGCAGAACTTGTCCTTTTAAATTGCTTTGCTCTTTTTTTTTGTTTTGGTTTGGTTTGGTTTTTTTGCCATTGTAGGAAACAATTTGCAGAAAAGAGATTTTTAGGTCATAGTGGTTTATAATGGCAACTAAGCACTTAAAAATATATTTTTTGTTCAGATGAAACTTAAAACTTGGATAGAGGAATATCTGGTGGTAAACTTCTCAAGTCAAATCCTTTATCTTTCTTAATTTACCAGTTCAAAGTTTGGTGCTAACTAGTGTGTTTGAGTATCACCAAAACTGTTATCTCAGTGTTTGTTTGAAAGATTTTTCTGTTAGATCACTGAATCTCCACTCATCGTTGACGTGATCCTTGATCTGAGCAGTTTACGTGATAGCAGGAGCAACAGGATTTGCCTTTAATACACAAGGACACTAGAGAAAGATCACTGAGATCACAATTAAGGCTGGATGTTCTTTAAGCACTCGTATAGCTCTTCTGTTACAATGTTTTTGAGTTCTGATGTTGATAGCATTATTTACAGCCTCTCTTATAGTGTATTTTGGGAGGATGCATAAGTGTTTCCCATTTAGTCAACTGTGCTGAATGCTGAAACAGATTTTACCTTGTTTCCTATGATTTTTATCCTACAGGCTACAATTTGTTCATTGTTATTGCCCATGAGCTTGGCCATTCACTGGGTCTGTCTCATTCAAATGATCCTGGAGCACTGATGTATCCAACTTACTCCTACACCGACCCCAATGAATTCCTCCTTCCTCAGGATGACATTGATGGCATTCAAGCCATCTATGGTAAGAAAAAAAATTATTTAATATTTCTACTTGGGAGCCTGGTAAACAATAATATTAATATATTTAAAATATGCTTATTCCACCAAAATTGGAAGTTTAACTGTTGCTGAACAATGGATAGCAAAAGATGGAAAATTTGTGGAAGCTGGCTTCAGCTGAAGTCCAGTTCTGCAAAAAAATTCATTTTGGAAAAGATGAACACATCCAGTTTTATCAACATTAAAAGCCTGCTTTTAGTGACAGACCGTTAGTTTAAAACAACATGCCTTCTTATTCTCTGTAAAGAGGGTTCTTGGTGTCCTCAGAGATCTTCTGAATGCTGTCTTTATATTTGTCCATACTAAAAGATAAAATATTCTTCCTATAGGACAGTCCAATGCTGCTGTACAGCCAACAGGACCCATAACTCCACAGGCTTGTGACCCAAATTTGACATTTGATGCTATCACTACCCTACGTGGAGAAATAATATTCTTCAAGGGCAGGTAACAACAATAAGAACATATATTATCTTTTTAAAATAATCAGTAGTTTAGGAAAAGATTGTAATCCATGGGGTAAAACTATCCTTTTGGAATGTAGTGCAAAGAGTAGCACTAGAACACCACCATGTATTTACACAAGCAAGAGTTCTCAAATCATTAATCCCAAGAGCCCTAGCTGACAAGAGCGGTGAAGGAGATGAGGGCTTGTAGGTTGTTTTCCAACTATTCTGCTGCTGTGGCCACTGCTGCAACAGACTTTATCTCTGAAGTTGATTCAACTGATAGCAAAGCAAGAGCATCCTTTAGCAACATGTCCACGGGTCCCACACTGTAACCTTTCTGCTACTCCTTAATACAAGAGCAGGGGCAGAACTGAAAGCACTGTTATGTAGAAAGATGTCTGTTAGGTGGTCACTGAAGCCAACTCTTAGCCTGCTTGTCCTACAGAGAAACAGAAGAGCTTATACTCATCTTGCCTGATTTTTAGCATGTAACTGGGGTGCTAAAGTTATGAGTGCAGTCACTCTAGTTTTCCTTGACATTCAGTGGAGGGGGATATTCACACCCAGGTACCCATCTCCCCCCTCTTATTCTCCAGGAGCTATAATAGTTATGTTGCACTTATGATAGGAGTAGAAATATTTTATTACATAAATTTTGTTTAAACCAGATATATGCTGCGCAAACATCCTGCGAGGACAGAGACAGAGCTCAATTTTATCTCACTGTTCTGGCCAAAGTTACCATCAGGAATTCAAGCTGCTTATGAAAACATCGAGAAGGATGAAGTTTTACTTTTTAAAGGTAATGGAATCTGAAATTCTCTGCTTTTTCTGACCAGTTACTCCCTGCTCCTTTGCAAACTATACAATTACAGAAGTCAAAGTGTTTTTTTAAGGAAGATTAGTGAAACAGAGAATCTTACAAGTCTGCAAATAATTAAACCAGAGGATCATAGAGTTATACTGCTGTAAGGGATCTCCAGCAGTCATAATCCTGAAAACTTCCCCTCTGTTATAGTCAATGCTCTGAAAAACAAGACATGAAAATAGTTTCCCTTCTTCAGGTCTAGTTCTCTTCAGGTAACAGCATTTCACTTTATACAGAAGGATTTTTGGTGAATTCAACTGGCAAATACAGCCATTTGCACACTACTGTTACCAATATGCTGATGTCAGTTACTGATATACTGATACTGATATGTATTTTGTGATATTTTGGGGGAAGAAAAATTGGTGGCAAAGCATACTGTGAGAGGAAAATTGTTCACAAAAAAAAAAAAAATCAATCCTTTCCTTTAGAGGTTTCAAATACACTTTAAATGTCTCAGATAACTTCATTATGCACATATTACAGTACATGTTATATTACCTTATATAAATATGTTCATTGCATCTAAAATTACCAAAGTATTTTGATTAGACATATGCCCTTCTTAATAGTTTAATTTAATGCACAGTCTAGTTTTCAAAATATTATATGGCTCTATAATCAAATAGCATATTACAGGAATTTAATAAACTCAACATCCCAATCCAATGTCTGTGGATTAGCTCATCAACCTCCAGCCCTCCCCACTTTGTTACCCTGACAAATACTTCATATTCATTTGAATAAAATCTGGGAAAAGTACTATCCATAGACCCTATGATTCTAATGTTTTATTCATAAAAACAAAAGACATTTCCACTGTCCTCATGATATAGTCCAGTGAAAGAATTAGAACCATTTTCTAAAGTAATGAAATGAAACAAATAATACTGATATCTAAGATACATCGTTTGCTACCCATCTAAATCACAATTAAATGCTGTTTCTAAATAGCAAAACCAAATTAAATGTGCTTATATTTTTCAGAGGATAAATACTGGGTTCTCAGGGGATATGACATTGCACCTGGCTATCCTAAACCAATCTATCGTTTGGGGTTCCCAAAAACTGTTAAAAGAGTTAATGCAGCTTACACTGATGAAACCACAGGAAAAACATACTTCTTTACAGCTGACAGATACTGGAGGTAAGATTTAATGTTCATTTATTAGAAGACATATTTTCACTTGTCCCTGAGGACTGATGTGTTACTATAAATTTCAAGTGCAATGATGTTTAAACCATGTATATTCAAGAAATTTAAACAGGATTCTCTGGAAGTTTAAAAATTTTAAGCATTTGCTAGGAAATGATGACTTCTCTATAGGATGTTTTTGCCATTTATTAGATTCCAGTAGCAGCAATGTAATTGCAACTGAATGAAACACCTGCCCAATAAAAGAATTATTTTCTAGTAAATTATTCTCTTTTTCTCCAGAACAGTACTGCTTTTCTGTGCAATGTTTTGATAGTGTCCACTTTTCATTCACATTTCAAACAAAATGAACTGATAATAGAGAGTGGTGTAATTTAATTTCTCTGTGGACAAGCTATAAATATTCTCCAATTGTACAGTTAGTTGTATTTATAATTCAAGTGTAGCTCACGACAAATTTCAGAGAGTAATTTTGTTTAAGAAGTAGATGGCTGATACTAATACAAGTATGTTTCAGGACTGTGCTGTTGTCTTTTACTCCCAAGTTTTAGCTTTTGCTTTTATACAGAACTGGATATCCAGTGCCTCAAAATAGAAACTCATTTTATGTGCAAGTGATGGCTGAGGCTCTGGACAGTCCAGAAATGCATTAATAAATTCCTGGGCTGCATTCCCAAGGTCCTGGAAAGCCTTGTTATAAACTTTACCAAAGACAGGATTTTCAAATCTGAAGACACTCATAGTGTGACAACCTTAATACTTAATAGGAAGAAACAAAAAGCTACTTTAGCTAATCTTTATAAGACTTCTTTGTAACAGTAGAGCTGCATATGTGTATGAATTTGCTTTGGACTTTCAAAATATTGTCTGCTTCCTCACAAATTGTAATGATGTTTCTTGTGTTAAGATATGATGAAAACAAAAAATCCATGGATCATGGTTATCCCAGGAAAATAGTCTCCCACTTTGGAAAAATTGGCAGAGTTGATGCAGCTTTCCAGAAAGATGGTAAGTAAAACATACCCTTAATCTGTGTTTACTTGAATATTTGGGCTTCTGTAGATAGAATAATTTGTTTTCAAAAAAATGTTATTAACCTTAATGAGATGGAAATTGAAAATAGCAAGTACACATAGGCTGTTTATGTTGGGCTTTTTTCCAAAATACTCAAAATTGGAATATGAATACTTAGTTATTGAAATATGAAATATAATGGGATTCAATTTTCTTTCTAGGCTATGTCTACTTCTTCCATGGAACAACTCAGTTCCAGTTTGATCCTCGTGCCAAACGGATTGTCGGACAAAAGAAGAGCATCAGCTGGTTTAATTGTTAATTGCAATGTTATTTCATATGCACGCTGTATGTTTTTATGTGCTGAATTTTTCAGCATTTCATGGCTATCAGGTCAGAATGGATTTCTGCCCAAATTCTGTGGGAGTACAGTCATAATAATTATTTATTGTAAAACTAACGCATGTATATAATTTATCACAAATTCACCTGCTACATTAAAGTTTCCTAAGAAATTATGTTTGTCATATCATTGTGTCCTTGATGTTTTATTTGCACTGATTCTCAAGAGCCAAGTCTAGCTTTCAAACACTAAAAATATATTCTGGCATGAAATATCAGCTCTTTTTCCCAAAGCCAGAGAAAGGAGCAGACAGCTGGCTATGAGCTCCATCACCCCACATGAGCCCTGGTGAAAATCTTATGGGTAACTAGGCCAGTTGGGGCTCATTAGTATCAGCCTACTAATCACACTTCCACTTTCTGTTCCTCTTTCCTCAGGTTCCACTCTTAGCCTTCCCTTGAGGGTCTATGTGTTTGCAAGTGTCAACAGGGTTTTTTTCTCATGTTTTTTGGGTTTCGGAACTGGGTTTAAACCTGGAAATGTAGATTAGAAGAGGCCCCTGAGATCACTGAAACCAGTCCCTTGCTATCACAGGTAGCCACATCATATAATGCACAAATAAACCTCTTTGCTCAAGGCTCTTTCAAGTGCTTACTACTCTAGTAGTTAGTAAATCCCTCCTAATTTCAGTGGGTTAAAGGATGAATAAGTTTGTTTAAAAAATGAAAATGCTTGGCCAAAAATATTTCTGATACAAAAAGTTCATGAAAAAGACAGCTTGACTTCCAGTTTACTGCAATGTTTTCAAACATTCTCAATTAAAATGGTGTTTGAAGGGTTATCCATTTTCTCTTTAGTCTTTGTAGCTCAGCTGATAATATTAGAAGCCATATGACCATAACCATGTATTATCTCATACAAATTCTGTATTGTTCGACATACTTCAGAGGAAGATTTCAGGTTACTGTAATAGAAGTAATTGCATTTTGAGAAAAGAATGCATAACTTTATAAAAACATATCCATTCAAATTTTTTCATTACTTATCTGTCTATATTAGAAGCCTATTAAATTGTATCCTTCATAAATAAAGAACAGACTTGGTAGTTCTTACCTTTATTAACTTCAGGAGTAAAAATTAGTCTAAATACTATTCAAAGATAAGAAATTGTATAATTGAAAATTAACTTGAATATATTCTATTCTTTATAAAACCTAAAAAAAATTTGTAAAATAATAAAAATAAAATTAAACTTTAATGAAGAAGTTAATTTATGTGAATCCTTTTCTCTCAAGGTGATTTAGGTACCAGTTCTTTAACTCAAAATCTTAGTAGCAATGCTATTTCATATTTTCTTGTGTAACCCAGTGCTACTGAACTACTAATGACAATCAAACCAAAAATTGTTTCAGAAGTATATAAATCTAAATTGATTATGTTGCTTTAGTAGAGATGGTCTACAAACATAGCACAAAGTTTATGGGGAAAGATAATATTTCTTACTAGACCAATTATATGTTAAAAAATCAAAATTAGGGGCACACATTCCCTTCAGATATTAAGTAGAACCAGAAGATCTCAAGGAAGTTCCAGAATAGCTCCTGAAATTTAGAGCAGAACACTAATCCCTCTCTAGAAGAAAAAAGTAGTGGGTACTCATGAGGCAGAGAAAATGTTAAATGGCAGACAAGGGATAAGGAGGTGGTTTTGATTTAGAGGAAAGAGAGAGATAAAGGTTAATTTACAAACCATAGAAGATTATGTTAAAGAGTGGTTGAAGTTTGTAATGGCATATTTTTAGTCCATGCCTTTTGGTATCCTGTGAAGTTCTGAATTTTAGTTGCCAGGCACATTTTCTTGAAATTTGTTTTCCCTTGAGCAGGAAGACCAAGGGCTCAAAATTAAGCGATTTCTTTGTGAGAAATAGTCCCCGTACTTATGTGAGTATTTCCTTTGCCTGAGTGAGCTTGGCAATTGCTTCATTCCAGTCACACCATTCACTAGGAGGAGGGCATGTCCGGTGCCAGCAGCTCTCTCCTGCCTGCAGGCACAAGCAATGCTTTCAGTAATTTGGAATCTAAGTGTTGTTTCCAGCTCAGTCCACACAATCACCTGCCATTTTCTTACTCCCTTTTAATACGTTTACAGTCCTATTTGCTCATTACTGTACTATGGTAGAGTACCGTACCACGCCCTAGTGTTTGGTTACTGGTTTTGTGTGTAGTCATAGCCCATACTGTTATTAACTGAGACAGATTTGCTCACGTAGGAATCCAATTGCCTAAACATGTGTTTAGTGCATTTGAGGTGCTGTTGGGTACCCAAGTCACCCATGGAGGTATGAAACAAGACTTCTGGGAGGCCATCACGTCCCAAAGTCCCACAGAGCTTACACTGTCTCTAGGCACCTATGTTTGGGTGGTTGAATCCTGCCCTCACAGGCTGCAGTCTTTGCTAAAGATTTGCCAAGGGTAAAGCACCTTATTTGAACTGTTCACCATTGTCCCATGTTTTTCATGCAAACTGAGTAATGATTCAGCTTTGTTGACTCTAGGATTGAGTCTGCAAAGCAGTGGCTCAACTCAGCTGCCTGAACAGATATCTAGTGCCATTAAAGTGCCTGAAAGTTTCCAGCTGGACTCCAACTACCAGTCTGAAAGCCATATATCCCCTCTACCTCCTGGGTCACAGCCACCAGGCCTGTGTCAATGTCTCGGGTTCACAAATCACTATTTAGGCAGCTTAACTGCAGCCTTAGTGTTTTCATGCGATCTCAGGCTTAGGCTCTTTCTCATCCCACTCAGTGGGTTGCAAGGGAGGTGAACCTTTTATCCCCTGAAGATGCAAGTCCCGCCCAGTGGAGGCACAAATTGAATGAGCCGTGGTAAAGACTCAGTGGAACAATGTAAAAGAGTTTTATTGACATCTACGAGCTAGGCATCAACAACTGGCAACTGTGCGGATAACGGGTAAAACACTTGCCACACACAACAACTGACACAAGGTACTTGTGGCTCTTCAACAGTCTCTGACACCACCCCATGAGACAAAAACAGGGTATTTATGGCCTTTCAACAGTCTCTGACAGGCTCGCATCATAATCATCAGTGTTGGTCAAAAAATTTACTGAGTTCTGGAGAGGTGCACAAATCATCCTAAGTTTACCTCCTACATGTGGTCAGATGAAAAGCTCTCTAGATGACATTTGACCATATTGATTAGATTTCTGTAGATTTGTAGATTTTCTGCTTGCAGCCCAGAAAGCCAGCCGTGTTCTGGGTTGCATAAAAGAAGTGTGACCAGCAGGTCAAGGGAGGTGATCCTGCCCCTCTACTCCACTCTTGTGAGACCCCACCTGGAGTGCTGCATCCAGCTCTGGGGGCCCCAGTACAGGAGAGACATGGAGCTGTTGGAGAGAGTCCAGAGGAGGGCCACAAAGCTGGTCAGAGGGCTGGAGCACCTCTGCTATGAGGACAGGCTGA